TTATAAGGAATTTTAAAAATGCTCTTATGATAAAATTCTTTATTTTTTAATTTAAAAAATAATATTTTCTTTGTTTTAATTGATTAAAATGTCAAATAAATTTGGAAAATTTCGAACTATTTTAAGAGGTTAATTAGACTCCAATTATATTGTAGAAAAAAATTTGAAGCTAGATGAAACATCAATTGCATATTATATGATTTTTCAATTCATTGAAATTATTATTCAAAATCCTAATAATTAGAATTTTAATTCAAAAAGTAAAAAGAAGGGTGTGTTCATTTTACTAGTCTTCCAAGTCTAAACAACCAAATGGTCCCCAAGACTCTTCAATAAAATTGCATTATAAAGTATTTTGAGTGATTTGGATTGAAGTACGCAAATAAATATCATAGGTGAATATGCAAATCCTCCAATAATAAATGCCATACTAATAAGTACAACTCTAGGAAAAAAAATTTGCTCTTCAGCTACTAAAGGAGAAGAAAGAGGGGCAATAAGCACCATGGGAGATGTTTTTGTTCTTTCTCCTTTTTCAGGCCACCAGGAATCCAGCTTCGATTCCAGCCAAGGATGGCAGGGTAAAAATCCTTTTTTTTTTTTCCTCCTTTGCTCTCATGAAAGTATTGTTTTTTAAAAACTTCTATTAGAACTTATTGGATGATTATGAGATTCATGGCATCGTAATCCTCCATGGCTCTACATGTCTTAGTTGATGCGCATATTTCACAAACTTTCTAAGCTTTTCCAGAAAATTACTATTTGAGTAAGCATATAGTATATAAGATGATCCACTGGACCGCTAAACTTTTCTTCCTGTTTTCTAATAAGAAGTATTATCAGTAGAAGATAACATTATTTTACTCTAAAAATAGCAAGAAAAACCGAGTTTTGTTTTGAATAGATAGACTTACATACTTTGTACGTATTCAATATGCAAAGATTTTTGTTGTAAGGATGTGAGCTCCGAAAATTCTGCCCCGGCCTCCGCCCGCTCTGACGTGCTTTTCTTTAGCGAGGGTGGAGTTTTAACGGAATAAGTTTCGGGGTAAATTTTGGAAGGTAGATGGGTTTGTAGATAAAACACTACCCAGAGATTTCGCCCTCATTTTGTGAGGACTTTATGATCTAAGTTCTGGTTTCCTATAGGTGCAAGCCCCTATCGTTAATTATCTCTCCCAATCACGAGAGAGAACTTTTGATTAAGGCTAGTCGTCAATCAGATACGTAGAGATACATGTTATCTGGCATATAGTAGCAGCATCGGTTTGAGATTTTGAAGTTTGGAAATTAGGAAATTTGGTTTAAAATATTTGGGAAGTTTGATATTTAAAATAGAAATTGCACCATCTTGCACTTAAAGCGGGTGATGGGGGAATGAATGATGGACCCGATCAAGATCTCATGGTTTATTCGACCCGGGCCATCATGGACCCTGGTCTACTTAGTCAAAGGAGGTAGTCGACCCAACCTGACAGAAGGATCATTGTCGGCAGCCATGGGTTACTTCATCCAAGGGTACCTTATAGACCCTGGGTGAATGTTTGTCTAACGGGACAAATTTGAATCCACCTTACTAACAAAGGGCTTTGTGCCCTATCGATCATATTCTATTGATTCATATCTCAAGGATTTGATGTCAATAAGGAGCATATCGGCTCTAGCCATAACCGGTATTTCGTGGTGCCATTTGGCAGCAAAACCACTTTGTTTAGAGGGCCCGTGTCATAACTGTTTATCCTACGGTGCCATTTGGCCACAAAACCGTATGTTAGAGGACATGTACCACGTCCTTACCGGCAGGAGATTGTTTGAGAATGGATCATAGTGATATTTTCGACTAAGCATTTGGCCCCATATGAGCTGAAGTAAATTTTAATTTGTCCACCCCGGCAAACTGTTGTGGAGGATGGATGGATTTTGCTTTAAGTGGCAATGGATTTATTTTAATTTTTAAATATTTTTTTTTATTTTGATGATTTTGGAATTTTTGAGTATTTGGATTTTAATGGAGCTAGAAAGACTTTTTAAATTATTTGTGAACCCCTCCGATTTAGATAAACATTCAACACGGTCATCATCGGAGTATTTGGGGTCACTTTCATTTAAAGCTTGAACCTTGTCGGTCTTATCAACTTGTGATAAAGGATCGGGTTTCGTATGATTTATGCATTTGTTAATGAATTCTCTTGATTATAGGCCTTGAAAGCCTAATATGAATGTATTAGAATAAATATATCGGTCGCCACAACGGTGTATTTGTCTGATGGTTCGAACCCTGTCAACTTCTATTGATAGGCATAAAAGGATCAGGTTAAAATTTGAATTTACTTATCGACCCGTGCAGCATCCTTAGACGTCACGTGTGTACCAATAACACGCTCGTCGGGGCCCATGCTGGTGTTTGGGGGCATTTATAGTTATTGACTAAACCTTGTCAACTCCTATTTACTTGCCTAGGAGGATCGTTCAGATTTGATAACCCGACAACATCTATAAACGTCATGCGTGTACCAATAACACGCTTGCCGGGGCCCTTGCTAGTTTTGTGATTGCATTTATCCCTTTTAGTGTACCTATGTGTATACAATTTATAGTGCATGTGCAGGGGTATTTTATCATATTTTGGTTATGCAGATAATTGTCGTTTGAATGCACAACATTTCATTTAAGAGCTTATACACGCCTTTTGTCCGCTAATATGAGGGTTACGGATCAGGTGGCATGGCATAACAGCTTCTAAATTGAGTTATTCGTTGTTCTATACAGGTAGACTGTCGTGCACTACTTGTATGATTTATGCAGGTATATTATAGTGCACTAACTAAACTCCTGCTTTATCACAAAGATCTGCATTTGTTGTAGTATCATAACCCGTTGCTCTTAACAGATCAATGTAGTTACTTAATATTGACCAGTTATGGACCGTTAAGGTGATGTAGCATTCATTGGATCTCCCTCATCACCATTCATGAATAGTTTAATGTGTATATTTGTATTCACAAGTGACCTTCATATATGGTATGACATCTTTCAGCACTTGTTGTGAACAGAGTTACTGCTTATGCTTTGAGTTCATTCCACTGCTCACAAAATTGAATGTATATGATTATGTTACAGTGTTGCTAATGACATAAACATCTGACATTTATTGCATATCTTTCATTCAATCTTTGGTCATTGCTTGGATACCACCTCATTTGAATAGCTTGAGATATCTCGACTCTATCATTCTTTGTTTGCATAACCTTTAAGAGCTTGTTCTTCATTCGTCTTATATTTCTTGTTCATATGCTTACCTTCATTTGGATGATCAGGATAAATGCTATGGGTTAATCATCATCTGGTTTGTGATGTGAATGATAGCATCAACATTGTTATTGGTTGTCAATTTGTATTCCAACCAATATGAGAATTTCTTGCAATTTTCTTTAGATCCTATGGATTGATCGCAAGCATATTGTTGTATCCCCCAACTGATCTTTCCTTATGAATAAATCACATTCATTGTGTCCTTCATATGTCATGAGTTTCCCATCTAATTGTTGACATTCATGCATATTTTGTTGAATGTATTATTGTTCGATACATTTGAATTTGCTCATATGCCCTTCTTGATTCTAGCTGACAAATGCTTGCAAGTACATGATGATCATATTCTTATTTTACCATAAGCTTCATGTTTTTGCATTTGTTTGACATTATTATTTGCAAACTTATAAGTCTTTTATTAGACATTAGATGATGCTCATTCACTTTCATTTGTTCAATGTTGAACTCATGCCCCTTGCAGTCAAATTTGATGTCCGAGTCTTTTGTAAGGGTTCAAGTCTTCTTGTCACTTTGAGCTCAATTCCTTGAGTTTAGTTCAAGTTCATGTTCATGTTCAAAAGCATGTTCAAGTTCAATGTCAAAAGTTTGTGTCCACAAGTCCTCTGTTTGAGTTCAAGTTCAAATGCATGTCACCTGTTGTCCTTTGAGTTCGTTCAAGCTCAAATATCAATTCCATGAGTTCAATCAAGTTCATTTGAATTTGAGCTTTTTTTCATATGGTTCAGGATTCAATTTCATTTATTTAAGTTCAAGCTCTTCTTTAGTCATTTGATTTGAGTTCTGAGCATAGTTCCAAGTCCTTGGATATTCGATCAAAATTTCGGCAACCTCCCGGCATCTCCCCTGTTTAGGGAAAAAACCAAGAGGCAACCTTACCCTCGACGCTACGTGAGAGCTTCATGTAGATGTCATAATGACACCGCGGTTGCAAATTATTTTTTTATCCCCGCCTGCTACGTTAGTGTTTAAGGGTTTGGAGCACAAGTTAGAAAGAGCACAATTTTCCCCCCTTTACGTGAGCGTTCGGGGGTACTTATATAAAAAAATATTTTTTTATCCCCCTCGCCACAAGCATCGTGAGTGTTATGTAGGGTAGGCTGAGTGGACTCAGTTGAGTGGACTGAGTCTAGTAAGTGGGTTAGGTTGAGTTGGGCATTAAGTAAATGAATATATGAGGAGATGATGGGTTGAGTGGATTGAGTCGGCTGAGTTGGGATTGAGTCGGCTGAGGTGAGACTGAGTTTTGGAGTGAGTTGAGATAGTGAGCTTGGGGATTAAAGGGGCTGCTCGGTTCGGCAAATTATTGGGTCAGGTGACCGGAGCCAAAAGATAAGTTCGGACAGCCAATAAAAATTTGCCGCGTCATCTTGCGCTTTAGTTGCGCTTTTTGACTTGCGCTTTAGTTGCGCTTTGGTTGCGCTTTAGTTGCGCTTTGGTTGCGCTTTAGTTGCGCTTTTTGACTTGCGCTTTAGTTGCGCTTTGGTTGCGCTTTAGTTGCGCTTTGGTTGCGCTTTAGTTGCG